CCGCGGCATTCTCCAGCAGGAGTCCCGCTGCTTCTGGGAGGCTGCTCTGTCATTTTACTCAAGTTGAAGAGCAACCTCTCTTCTACTCAGGGGAGCGTAAGAATGAGCACGTTTTGAATGCTTGCACTAGTAAATCTGAACAAAATAGTGTCTGTGCCACATGCGCTTCCACTGTGAGCAGGACCATATCTTTCCAAAATGGAATTTAAAATGCACTATAAACACAGGTCAAACAGCAACAGAAGCAACAGTTCTGTCCATGAGCTCTACCCTTTTTAAAACTCTGTTTTAAAGTTTAATTTATTAAGCTATTTTTATATACAAAAAAAAGAAATCTGCTTTTTATTTAGACAGCCACACACGTGTCTTAAGGGAGAAGAAGGAAAACAAAAACAAAAAGGAGTTTAAACTGACGAGACAAACGACTAAAAGAGTTATTGCTTGTTACTGCTGGAAAGAGGATGGACAACTATTCCAAAGTTTGCTGTTGTTGTCTGGACTTTTTCCTTGTTGCTGTTTTTTTTCTACTTCTTAGTTTGTGCTGCTTCTATTGACAGCTCTAAAGTAGGCAAGTGCAGGATAGCTTGTTGTAGCTGCTTGTTGAGGGGGAAGAAACCAACAAAAAAAAACACACGAGTTACAATTTCCACTGTCCGAAAATGCACCGAGCACCCATATTCGACAGGAATGTTCTTTTTCCCCTCCATTTTTTTGGTGGTGGTGGTGGGTGGGGGGGTTTCCTCCATGCTTGGTTGGAAATAGCACCAATCTGAGTGTCTGAGCCTCGCTGGTGTCAAGCAGAGGTCGTGAAAAAGAAAAAAAAACAGATAAGACAAGGATTAAATTCAGGACTGGAGAGAGATTTTCAGGGCCAAGCTATGTTGATATGACAAAGTTCACACACAGTGTTCACTGAAGTCCAGATTAGATGTGCTCCCGTTTAAATAGGCCCAACACCGGAACGTGATACACAGGATCAGCTCAACACACACCCACCCACACACACACACACACACACACACACACACAATAATTTTAATATTATATGAATTTAAGTGCATTTTGGATCAAATCAGGGGTTGTGTATTTTGAAAAATATTCAGATATCTGATGGCTTGAGGAAATAAGAGAAGTAAAATCACTTGTGTGGGTTCATGAATTAATATGATATAATTTTTCATCTGAACTTAATTTAAAAGAAGTGTAGGACCAACTGGCAGTCTCATATCACTGAGTCTGGGTCGGTGTCAGTGCTGGCTGGGGTGGGGTGGGAGAGCTCTCACTGAAGATTCCCCAACAGTGGGCTCAGCAGCGCAGGAGAAGAGGGGGGCAACTAAAAGGTCAGGAGCAGGAGTGATGGTAACACCATTGGCTGGGGGAGTGGCCGTTGTCAGAGGTGACTGGGAGTATGTATGCAGGTGTGGCTGGATGAATAAACAGATGGGAGGACAGGTGGGCTTGGCTGGGAGGTGGTAGCGGGGTGGTGTGGGGCTCTAAGAGGGGAAGGCAAGTTTGACACTGCAGGAGGAGTAGCCCTCGTCACTGGCCATGCTCTGCAGGCTGCTGTGGTCGTCCAGGTCGCTGGTGCTGGCGGTGCTCACACTGTCCAGCTCTCCATGGGAGAACTCTGTGCTTTCCACGTCCACCTCGATCTCCTCTGCAGGACATGAAGAGATGGACAGAGAGATGGTGGTGGGACAGAGACAAGGAAAACAGAATTAAATTGTGACACATAAGAACAAGATTCCATATAGTGGAATGACATGGGAACTCATGGAAAATAAAGTGGGAGGATGCTGGGGCTGCAGCATGCAAGCTGTCTCCTGGACCAAGTGTTCAACACCCTACTAAAACCAGGTTTTAATGAAAACATTAATGAAAAAGCTTTGTATGTTCCCTCAAAGTATACTTTCAAAACACATTTGCATTTTAAACTTCTATCCAGCAAATCTTTGTTGATTCTTTTCCACTTAATGTCTCAGAGGAACTGACCAGTACAACCTTAATATTGTAAAATTAGCCCATGAGTGGAGCTGGGGGGGTTTGGTGGTCTTGTGTGCGCTAAATGAAAATCCTGCTTTAAAAGTCAAGCTTCACTCACCTTGGTCCGAGTCAGAGCGGTCGGAGCCAAGAGTGGAGCCCACACTGTCCATGCGTATCCTTTCTCCCTCTCCTGGAATGCTCTGGGCTACAGCACCGCTGTCTCCACTCAGCAGCTCCAGCTGGCGCTGGAGGTGCCTCTGCTCACGCTCAAGAGACTCCAGCTGGTACTGGCTCTTCCTGTCCACCTCTTCAAGTTTCTGGTGAGGAGACAGGGAAGAGTAAGTGTGGGGAAAGATTGATTATCAGGGACCAAGGTGAGACTAGAACCTGCACATAAAATGTAAGTGTGTAAGCTGAGAGGAAAGCCAGTCAAACAGTGGGTGGGCGCAGAGATAGGAGGACAGCCCGAGGGCAAGACTGGGTAGAAACAGAGAGCAGATAAGAGTGAGAGAAAAAAGCTGGAAGAACAACTTAACCAAATGTGATGAGATACTGAAGAGACCAATGTTAAGTCTGCAATGAAACTTCACATCACAAAGCAAGCATTTCCCAGCACCTGTTTTAACATTCAGACACTAAACTTGTCATGTCCCCTTGTAGCTTTCTACTGTCAGCTCTGAAACTAATAAATGATTTCCCTCATCTGCCTTTACACCATGCCAACTTCTTTACTTGCTGCATGTTTACACCCTGTGCCATTACAATATAAGCGAGGGCCATGGCAGGGACTGATAACCTTGCACACTTATGTCATGGTCGCAGAGAGGACGAGCGTGACTCCCAGTGACAGGCAAAACAATAGACCATCAATAAGCAATGTAGAGACTCAAGTTAACAGCAGCAGAAGTGGAGAGTGGTGACGGCAGTAGTGGGGGTGGGTGGGGTACACAACAACAATATCAGCTTTATGCTTCTGTTCTGTTACGTGAAAGCACGCCGGGCCTTTCTCATGCATACTGCTCAATCTCAGGCAGTCACATGCCTGTTTCTAAAGTGGATGTGAAGGCATGAAGCAGGACGTCTTAACACGTTATACGCTCCTAAAACAGAATCACAGTGTCAGGCAGAGAAATGATCTCCCCAGCTGAATACTGGTCGCAATGTAGCTGAAGTCTGTATCCAAAATGTAATATATTTGACATCCACAACAAGTTTGGTCAAAACATTTGGATGGATTTATTTATTTAAATGACACATTCAACATTCATGTAACTTCAGAAAAATATTTACTTCAGAAAAACAACTCATCCACAGTCAGATCGCTCCATTATAGAAGCCACAAGATTTATTCCATTTCACTACTCACACATTCCTAATCTAAAATGATTCTTATGCACACAAATTACACATTTAACAGTGATCCCAGTAGTAACAGTTGAATCTGGCAGCTAAGATCAAAACAAGTCAAATCTATGCAGAGATTTATTTTGATGCATGTTAGTAGATAGGGGTATAACGATAGAGCCAGCTCATGGTTTGGTTTGACCGATGATACAGGGCTTACGGTTTGATATACTCACAATAAAGAAAGAGGAAAGCAAACTGTCTGTGTAATTTATTCTGTCTTAGGTCAAATTAACAAAATGTTATAAGACATTTGTTTCTAACAGGTCTGTCTTATTCTGTAGACTGTTCTTTTAAAGAAAATCACGAAGTCAACCGTTTCAGGCAGAACTCTAGCAGTGCATTTCTCCTGCGGTTGAAAAACACGCTCACCTGGAACTGAGGTAGCAGGAACCGTGAGATCTGCCTTTGCCAGAGGCACAAGCATGAATACATGTGATACTTGGGCTCCAATGTGTTGGCAGGTTTTTGACAACCTTCACCCTGTACTACTGAAAACTGCCTCATGTCTTTAGCAATAAATATGCCGATGCTCTGTGTTCTCTCTTTTGCACGCTGACTCGATGCCAGGAGCGGTGGCACAAAATGTCTTCAAGTGTTCTTTGGCCTTTCGCCAACACAGCAGGTGGCACCGACTGTAACTTTTCCTTAAGATGCCATTGTAGATGATGCAGCATATTACTGGTGCAAGCCATAGCGTAACCCAAAGTGCACCGACAGAGCTTGCAAACAGTCTTTGTTCAGTCTAGCAGTTTGCCTGCATTTTCTTGCATTCGGGTTGGAAAACAAAAGCTCTGCCATACAGCTGAGTTATAGTTCAACGGACATCTTCTATTATATCACCTCCTCTTGTGTGCCAGTCTATTGTTAAAGTAAGCACTGATGTAGCAAATGAATGCCCTGGTGACCGAGGTTCAAGTCATGCCTACCGCACCTTCTAGCGGTAAAATCACAAACATTTACATCTTTTGGGACCCAAATGTTATTGACTTGATATTGTGACCTGTTTAATTATCACATTTTGGATCAAAATACTGTGGGGTGGTGCGTCATTTATGTCACCACTGGTGTTGCCTATATTCTGCACTTCCTTCTTTCACCCAGATATTTGTGTCAAAACAATTAAGCAGGACCTGCTTTAGTTCTTGTTCTTGTTGTTGTTAGTTCTTCTATCATCCTTACCTTTATGTGTGCTTTGGCTTTGTTCA